GTCGCAATATCTCCGCTTATAGGATGTGTAGAGAAAAAATAAAAGTACGTAATACAATCGGAGTGTAAACTGTCGATTAATGCCCATTTCAACCAACGTAGATTAACTTCGTCTTTTTCTAATTTAAAAGATTAGAAAAAGATAAAGAGTAAGTTAAACCGAGATTAAAGTTAATCTACATTGGCAGAAATACCAACGGTGTTGGATTGAATGTATTTAAAACTCAATCGGGACAGCCGTTACTGACAAAGGAATACAACAAAGTGAATTTCTTCAATTTAAATGAGCTTTTAGTATGTTATTCTATACAAAAATAGAAAACATGTATTTTTTTGTATATGTTGAGTCGCACGTTAAAAGGGTGAAATCCTCCCTTGAAAAAAATCAGCTTCTTTTCAGATTGAATATCGCCGAAACTGTAAGAGATAGAAAAAAATTTTTAGAATGAAAATTGAATGGCTTCAAGAGTACTTTAGAACTATAATAAAAAAATACTTTTTTTAATTATTTATTTATAATAAAAATTATTTATTTAAAAAAAATTTTTTTAATTGTAGTTCTAAAGTACTCTTGAAACTATTCAATTTTCATTCTAAAAATATTTTTCTATCTCTTATAGTTTCGACGATATTCAATGTAAAAAAAACTAATTTTTTTTAAGGGAGGATTTCACCCTCTTAACGTGAGAGGGCTTAACTACTCAGCACGTATAAAAAAATACGTGTCTCCTATTTTTGTCCATAGAACAACATATTAAAAACTCATTTAAATCGGAGAGATTCACGTAGTTGTGTTTCCTGGTGAGATCCGATTCGATCTGGCGCAACTCATCGGCTCGCGTAAAGGAGGCACAGCAGTGTCTCACGCCATATTTTAGCGCCGAGACACTATCGTGTCTCCAGATTATATATTACAATTCCTTATATTTTTATACTTTACAATATTGCAGTGATATTACAGCGCAATATTGCAACATTTCTGCAATGTTACTGCAAGTAGAAGTTTTATGCTGAATATATTATATACTACCACATCAATATCTTACGCAATCAATATCTATAAGCGCAATATTCCTAAAATGTTATATGGATATTATTAAAAAAAAAAAATAAGTTATTATAATATTTTGAGAATATCATATAATAAATTTTAATATTACGAGAGTATTCTATAGAGGTTATATGTCCACTTACATAATATCCTTGGTATGTGTCCTTAATGTCTTTGACATATTATTAAAATATTTATAAACATTAACTTTTTTTAATTTAGTACAATTTGAATTCACAATCCAGTAACGAAAAGTTCTTATCAGTCTATGCTGCATCTTGTGTTAAAAAAAATGTTTCGGTGTGATTTTAAGTATATATCCAATATTATTGCGCGCCAAAATCATTTTCAGTCTTTAAACATATACTTATTCTGAACAAATGTAGCAGTTTTACAAATTAAAGTAAATACTATTATAATACTTTTTAATGTTTAATATTACAGTAACATTAAATAATGTTACTTTTAATAATAATATAACATTATCAGGAGTGGACATATAACCATCCATTAATATTTCGGGAATATTATTTAATATTATATAATTTTAATAAAATATTTTTGAAATGTTACATTTAATATTCTGAAAATATGCTTAAAATATTATTTAATATTAAATAATATTATGCGCCTATAGGAATGGTACACGAATTAAACGCTTTATCGCGATGAAATTGACACGAGCTATATCATAGGTTGCATGAGATATTGGTGTGATCCTCAGCAAACGAGAATGGATTAAAATGGATTGAAATTTTTTTCTATCCGAATGCGCGCGCGTATTTTAAATAGAATACTTTTTTGGATTTAATTGGATTCAATTAGATTCGATTAGATTTAATTGGATGCAATTGGATTGAAAAATTTTATTTCCTATTCAAAATTTTGAATTGAACAGTATTTACAATGCATAGAAAAAGCTAATATTATTTTTAGATTGAAAGGCATAGAGATACCATATGCTCCATGCAATTCCTATAAATGAATAAAAATGCATTCAGGATTGAAAAACATTCATTTTAACATTCGTGAATCAATATTTCTGAAAATTTGAACTCTTTTTAATTTATTTCAATCCATTCTCGTTTGCTAGGACTAGAGATCCTATAATCAGAATTTGGCGAATGTGAACTAAAAATGGTGAATAGAAAGAGATAATAGATATTATTTTCTCGTATGAATGCGTGCGCAAAAAGTTAGAATACGAAGTTTGATAAAAAAATAACGGGAATTTTCATTTTTCTCAAAGAATCTTTATTTATTCATCGATATCAATTTTGTCCCCTTCAAAGTAATCCCCCTCAGATATAATACACCTCGTATGTGATAGGCAATACATAACGACAAGAGTATCTGAAGAAACCAATCGATTGATCAATTGGCCGAATTATGCAATTATAATTTGTTAATTTTCTCTTTGTCCGAGATTTCGGAACGATTTCTAATTTCTTTGACACAGGTTTTACTCATCTGCTTGTAATTGTGTATTTCTTTTTTTTCTTCGCACTCATTTTCCGACAATGTACAAAGCTATCCGAAGAATACTCAGTGGACCAAGATGGAGAACCAATCAGAAGTTGTGCCCGCTTTCGCTAAACTCTAAATATAGAATCTCTACTGTGGTCAAAGGCATAGAGAATGGACTACGATCCGTGTGTCAAAATGGTCGATAAAAGTAAGAGAGAGGGACCGTGGAAGACGATCATCTCTATTTCTTTCCATTCAGCGAGAGAGAGAATGAGAAGGAGATTGGCCGTCTTTCTCTCTCTCTCATTATTGTCGACCACGTTTAAATACTACTTAGATACGGATTGCGCAGTCCATTCTCTATGTCTTTGGAAGTGATAGTATACCATATAAAGATGCCCTTATTATTAATTATATTTCAATCCATTAATAATAAGGAAATAAGGAAAGGATAATAAGGAAAGGAATTAATAATAAGGAAAAACAGCGACCTCTGGTGACTTCGTTGAAGTTCGGATTTCACTTAAGGGATCCTAAACCGAAAGCCGAACTTGATCGAGATAGTGCAGACTTTTTAAATTTAAAATTCGATAATAGTGACATCTTTGCTTCATTTCTTACATAATTATATTATATATTATTATGTCTCACTCAAACGTATACATCTGTCTTTATGTAATTTATTTCAGCGCCATCTATCGCAAGATTGCGCAACTATTACACACAAAATGTCTGTGTAAACGGCTTTGTTAACATTTTTAGTCTTCACAAAGCATCCACATACACGTATTTTCCATTCGGTAAAAATATTTTTTTTTCTAGACTTTTAATCTTAGTTCTACAAATTCGGTATCGTTTGGTCCAGTAATGTAACTCAGCTGCACGTTTATTTTTAAGATATGGACTATAAAACTGTTATATCAAGCAAATATATATACCTGAGGTGATATCAGCTATACGAGCCAAAAGTAAACGAATTTTTTAATTTTTTTTCGATTTTCTTATGAAATCCAGTGCAGCTAAGGTCCTGTTTGCGCGTACTTTAATTCTATAATAACAATTTTGAAATCCGTAAATCTAATTCGGAGATTTTTCACCGAATGGAAGTGATGGTAAAGTAGGACGACTTTAGCATCCTCTTAAGCAATGCCTTTTTATCGCGTCAAGGTATCTGTTTAATGGCAGATGTATAAATAAAGTACGTAATGTATACAAAAAATGTAACGCTATATATGCCGAATAGGGGAGACAGACGACCTTGACTTTGACATATGTTGTCAAGGTAATCCTCCACCTGGTTTTAAGCATTGCTCGTCAGTCATTAAACAGTTATTGTAACAAAAAGTTTGAAAAATGATCTTTCTTTTCTACTATAGAACAGAAATTTTCTGCTTTAAAATGTATTTTACGACTTTCCACGCAACTCTCAACCGATCTCCCCCCCCCTCTGCCAAGAAGCACACACAACTTTCCATGCAAAGCGCGTTCCATCCCATCTTGCCAAGTTGCTTTGCGTAAAAAGTCGGATGCCCCTTGGCAGGGAGAGGTAGGGTGAAAGTCGCTTCGTGTGGAAATTGTGCGCTTCTAAAGCAGGGGAGGAAGTAGCGTGAAAGTCGTTTTGCGTGATAAGTTATTACGTAAATGAGGAAAAAGAGAGGTATAGAATAATTTTTAATATTATATATAGTAAAAATAAAAACAAATTCTCTGCTTTAACAACGCAAATTCACTGCTCTAAAAACACAACATAAGAAATTATATAAGAAAATATATTGCGTCGTTAAAGCAATGAATTTGTTTCATCGGAGCACAGTTGTGTTCAAAAATTAGATTTTATCGATGAATTTTTTTTGTTAATAACTTTTTAACAAATAACGAGCGACGGCTAAAACATAGTAAAGGCCATTTAGAGTCATGACTTTGACAATATATATTAAGGTTAAAATCATCGGGGCTGTCTCTCCTATTCTATATTGGCCAATGTAACAAAATTCTGATAATTAACAATATAATATTATATATTTTGGAAAATCTTTGAAAATAATAATGTATCTAATGTTTACTAACTGCTCTGTAAATTATTTAATATTTATATAATTTCAATATTTTTGATTTCCGTATTTAATGTCATTTTGAATTTAGAAATTTTTAATTGTTAAATTTATATTTAACGTGTCAAAAAACTAATACGTATCTAATTTGACATAAATATGTTCAATACTGTAAATGAAGTGTCCTATTCAATATCATGTCATCATTTCCGATAATCTTTTCTGGTCCGCCATTTTCAATTTGAGCTTTGTTTTAAAAAAGGCATCATAGGACATTTCATTACAAATAAATAAAAAAATCTTTGAAATCGGTTGAGAATTGCATTATTGGTAGATTTTTTTTCTAAAAAGTGAACTTTTTTGCCCACTGTGCGTCGGTCGACGAATAATCCGGGTTTTTCTTATAATACTTTGTAATTTATTCATGCCTACCCATACAATTTCTTGGTCCTTCACTAAAAGGGAGATAACATAAGTGGCAATCCTTTATTCTTTCTGGGAGAAATCTATCAGGATCGAACATCATTGGATTTGACCAATATTCTTCGTCCCGATGCATTTTCAGAATTCCTATAATAATGTCTGCACCTTTTGGTAAAACAACTTCTCCTAAAACATACATTTTTTATTAAAAAAAATTATTATAACAAAAATGAAATAATAATAACATTAATTTACAGAAAAAAATTACTTTAAATCAGATAAGATGCTGCTTTCTAACTTTTTGAATGATGAAAACGATATTACAAGCCAAATTTTTCCAACATGTCAGATTTCCAAAATAATTGATATTAAATGTATAAAAATAATTTTTGCGATATTTAATTTTTTGTAAAGAAAAGATAATGTTATTTTAAAATTCTGATCATAAATGTACTGTTCATCCTTTAAGAAATGCATTTTTAAACTTTAATATCTTATACCTTTTAGTTATTGTATATTAGAAATTAGATTGAAATATAGATCAGTTTTTTAAAACAAAAATTTTCCGCCTATGACTATGACGATAAAATCATATATGCATACTGTAGGGATTTTGAGTTAATGTTGTTTATGGTAGATATTGATTTGATTTGTAACGCGCGCCATTGAGCTGTAGGGATTTTACTAGCATTTCCCCATTGATCTGTTTTGATTCTCCGCGCTGCGTGGTGTGACTAACTCAACCATGGCTGTGTTCCAAATTTAAGCCCAAGACATAATGCGAGGGAATAGCGATAGCGATATATAGAATATATATAATATATATATATAAAAATAACACGATTTTAACCTATCAGAAATTGTGTATTCCGATATATCCAATTTCTGATAGGTTAAAATCGTATTATTTCTATCGCTATCGTTATTCCTTCGCATTATGTCTTGGGCTTTACTGCCGGCATCGAAAATGCTACAGTTTACGTTACGTGCACTTTAGATTTTCAGTATTGACAGTCAATTTTGGAACACAACCTATGATGTGCCATTATGAGTTGAATCTGAGCGCGAAAGAATTCGCTCATGAGTTGCCGATCTGTGCGGATCTCTGCTCTCTTGCTGCATCTAAGTAACTCGTCTCTCGTGCCTTTTAAGGTTTGGCTCGTTTTCTTTCCTTTTGAAGGTATTCCGAGAAGTTTCGTGTGAGTATTTGCATATCGACTCATTTATTCGTAGATATTCACCCAACGAACTTGCCGGCTTTGCCATGCAGAACGTCTCCTCCATCCGCCTCATAGCATATATATAGGACAGATCCAGCATCTATATATTTTTCTATAGTATATGCTAGATTTGGCAAAACGGTGCAAGAGGCAAGATATTGGAGCAATCTATCCTTCTCTGCGCGCGCATCTTGACATTTATGACTAAAAATAATAAAATAAGATATAAAAGTAAGGATAATATCCAAGAATTCTACTTTCTTCATCGATTTTAATGAAATTAAAGCAGGAAATATTTATTCTATTGTAGCTTTACTTACATGTTTTCATTTCTCTATGCCATCGATGTGACAGATTTCCTAACCTGCATAATCGTTAACTTCATGAATTAATGTACGGGGCACAGTGTTACTTTTTTTTTGTTACATTCGTTCATTTTGTACAAAAACGCATCGAATGAGCTTAATTTTATCAAAATCGGCAAAGAAGCTAGAATTTTTGAGTAAATTTATTCTCAAGATGCGTATGCAGAGAAGGATAGGTTGTCCCAATATTTTGTCTCTCGCACCATTTTGTCAAACCTAGCTATATATAGCTAATACTGGATCTATCTTATATGTCATGATCCGCTTGATCTGGGCGGTGATCTGCCATTAGCACCCAATCGTCGTTCAGTTTTTCTCGAGGATTTCAACAGCTTTTTTGAATGGGACGTGCAATCGACTTGTTGCGATCTTGCATAAAGCAGAATATCAAACTATAGCACCTAGCTACTGCTTTCCTGAGAAAATCGGATTTTGCGGTGTCCTCGAAGTCGGATAAGGGGACCCAGTAATACTAAAAAAAATAAGAATAAAAACAGATAAGAAAGGAGAGCAGGGCTCTAATAAACTTTCTATTGCCCCTGTTCCTTTATCGGTGCGTGACCGCTCGCGATCGTCTATTAAGATTCCGAACTCGATTCTGATATTTCTTCGCTACATGAAAATAACCGGGAAGAGGTCATGAATGTGAATATGATTCAGAGGTTTGTCGCAATTCGGAGTGCAGCGAATTCTTCCTTCTCTCGATGACCGTTGCTGGGATTCCCTTGGCAATGGCGGCGGAAGGGAAGGAGGACTGCGCGTCTGTGTAAATAAGCCATGACAGCGAGCTTTTGGCGGGCGAGTCCCCACTCACGGTTGCGCCTTCGGTTTTGCAAGCCTCGCGAAGAACGTATTACGGAGAGAGAGACTTTTCTCCCTGCATTGTTTTTGCGGCTTATTTTGGATGGCAGTGGCGAGAACACTCAATTGGGCCTGTCACTATAGCGCGGGTCATGGCACGCATTGCGGGTAATGTTACTGATGTCAAGTCTTCTGGATGTAATAAGATCGCGGTTTGTTTTAAAAACTTATCAGCTGCTAATTGGGCTCTCGGTCGCTTTCTACTTAAAGAAAACGTCGCTTCCGAGGTTTTTTGTATCATGCGTATCGTGTGATTAAAAACGTTCCTTTAGACATTTCCGAAGACGATATTCTCAAGAAATTTAATTCTCTCTATAAGATTTAATCCGCTAAACATTTCAACCTCAAGAGAATGGAAAAATGGCGAGCTGATCTCCATCCCCTTGAGAACTGTCGTAGTCGAATTTTGCGGACAATGCTACTGCGTTCTATAACCTACTATTTGTATGTTAATTTTCCGATTTTCCCCTATTTCCCTAGAGTACTTATGTGTTTTTTGTACCTCCGATATGGTCATGTAAGTAATGACTGTAAGGGTAAGCCCAGATGTATTTATTGCGAACACCCTAAGCATCCTAATTCTCACCATCAAAATGCCACCTTTGTGTTGTAACTGCGGAGAAGAACAGCATTCTTCTCTCCAAAGTGTCCAGTATACGTACGGAAACAGATCTACGCCTATGCGGCTACTGAAAACGTTTCATATTTCAAAGCATGCTCTAAATTTGGCATCGTTCCCAATTCCTCTCCCTCTCTTAATCCTCATAATTTTAATAAATTTCCTTCTCTCTTCAAACCTGCTTATTCCCCTCGCGATTTTCACTCTTATCAAGACCTTAATCCCCAGGATATTCTGGTCACATTCCGGAATTTGCTCACACTCGACTCGTTAATAGCCGTTCATATGCAACCCGTTCATAGCGCAATCTGCTCCTCTACGCTCGCACTTATTCACACGATAACGACAGATCTCATCGCACTAATTCAAATAATCTTCTGAACCCTACTCGAGAAATCTTAGGAATAACCTTCGCAATTCACATACGTAACTCCCTGCTCTACGCATCCAACGGTAGATTATTCATTTTGATGACCCTTCCGTTCTCCTCCCATAATCCTAATATTTCTCCATCTTTTATCCCCCCTTTTCCTCTTCCCATAATACTCCTCCCCATCTCCCTACTCCCTCACCTCTCCTCTCCAATGCTCCTACTCTTTCCAATCTTGTTCAATATCTAATCCTTCGCCATCCTCCATAATGACCTATGACTTACAATCATCAGATTTATCGCAACTTATCCATCTCTTTCTTTTCTTTTTCCTTTAATTAGTGAATAATATTTCGAATCCACTTAAAAATTCACAATTCAGTTTCGGGCTGCACAATATTCTTAACTCTCTACAGTCTTTTATCTACGTTAACTCTCTTTAATATTCTTATCAATCCTTTATTGCGCCATGGTTGATTTTGGCTCTTTATGTCTTTTATATTGGAATTGTCGGGAAGCCATCGGTAAGAAAGGTGAAATAAAAAAAAAATGGCCGAGTCTTTATACATTATCTTTCTAGCCGAGACATGTATTAAAGAGGAAAATTAAAGGGGTTGATTTCTGCATTCGCGGCTTTGATTGCATTCGAACAGACGCTGACACAGCAGACAAAAGAGGTATTTGTTTTTATTCGCAACCCCCCCCCTCCCCGCCCATTACTTATTCTACTTTAAACCTTTTATCTACTCTGAATCTCACTTTGAGGATTCTTGCTATTCGGCTCTCTCTCAATAACTCTCATCTTGTTATTATCGGTGCTTACAGGCACCCTAATCTATCTGCTTTGCGAAACGCACTTTCTTACTTTACCTCTTTTATCGGGACTAATAATCCAGCTATTCTTTTGGGCAATTTCAATAGTCACCATTCCTTATAGGGAGCCTCTCGTACGTTGGACGTATATCCTCTAATCTGCGATCATTGACGACAGCATTTGGTTATTCTTAATCCCTTGTCTTCTCCTACCTTTATCTCTCCCACCCTTTCAAAAACTCATCAATTATCGATTTAGCATTGGCCTCTTTCGGCATCGTCTCTTTATGCGATACATGCGTCTCCTCGAATCTTCTTGGGAGCGATCATTACTCTATTGAGATCCTGATCAATTGCTTAGTTAAATCGATTAATGTTTTCTCTTACAAGATCAATCTCACCTCGTCTTAATGGTCCGAGATTAAACAGCATCTTAGCAACCTATTTCTTAGTCCATTGACTTCATTAACCTTGACGATCCTGTTACCCTATACAACACTTTCTTCGAGTTGAAAATGAAAAAAGCTCTAAAAGCTTCGAAATCTTCTCGTCCTTGAGTTCTAAACAGGATCATCCCCGTTTTTTAACTCAATTAGCACCAATAGTAGGACCCTTGAAGTTTTCAAGCAAACTCTTACGTGGGACAATTTTGTGTGATATCGCTGAGGTTGACCAATGCCGAAGTATTCTTTGTAAAGCTAAGCGCAGCGGCTAGAAAAAATATTGTCAGTCTCTGAACTACCTAACACCTATTCCGGAATATGGCGCAAATTATTTGCACGTTCGTTTTCCGGCTGCTCTGATTTTTCTTCGCATATAGTCTTACTATCACATTCTTGATTGTTCTTATACTCTTCCCTTCAGATACTCATTTCAGTCTCACCTGTTCTATATTTCATTCTCTTCATAATGCTGCTCTGAAAACTCTTGACCATCTTCCTAAACAATGCACACAGTCCGTATTCATACAAACTTTCCATATTTTGATTGCCAATTTCACGGTATTTTATACCGATGACTCAAAAATCGATCATAGTACATACGTCGAAACAGCAGTCGATTCTCCAAGCTAAACTTATGTACAAATTCTTTTTCTACATATCGGTTTTCTCGGCCGAATCTTTTGTCATTTATAATACGATTCTCGTCGCTCTTAATCTCCATCTGACGTTCATCATTATTGTTACTGACTTCAATGTTCTGAAAGCTATCCGGAGTTTCCGCAACCATACGAATAATTACATCATTCCCCTTATTAGAGCATGTTTGAAGGAGGCTAGGAATGCGGGCACATGCAAATGTAATACTGAGTCCTTTCCCATCAAAGTATAACTGGCAATGCAAAAGCCGACAACTTCGCTAAGAGAACTATACCCGTCAGAGTATAGTTGAATTGAATTGAATTGAATTTCAAAGTACCATATTCAGATCTTTTCGCCGTTATTAAACAAAGTGTTAATGATGATTTCTATCTCGAAAACATATCCAATATTAAAGGTACCTTCTACTTTGATCACATATTTTTGAAATCTGCCAGCTCTCGTACTTTCGTAAAAAAGATTTCCAGAGAAGCGATTGTTATGCTTAATTGGCTGTGCTGCAACCTTTATAGGCTTAATTTCAGTTTCTTTCGTAAAAATTTATGATCCCTCATGTGTGTGTGGGTTTCCCCAACAGGACATACTGCATATCATTTATGATCGTCTTGATACTAACTCTAAAGTTCTCTATCTTCGAGGTGTGTCGGATGAGGGGGACTTCCACTCTAAGTTTTCTACTTCGAACCCTTTGGAAGACTTTTGTCATTCAATTTTTAGCTTTAGCAAAGCTTGTAATAATCTGTTTTGATTCTGAATCTTTTTCGCGCCTTCTCGAGACGGTCGTGCAATGCCTTGCACTCGTCTTACTCCTTCCCATCCTAGCGGAGCAAGATGTTAAGACATTAGTATCATACATCGTGAACCACAGAGAGAACTGCGAGCCATTAACTTTATAATACGCACTGTAAAAAACTCTGTTATAACACACCAAGACATTGTTAATTAATGGTTCGTGATCCTGACCCTACAATACTTGTCATTTTTAGTTTCTATAAAGACATACAGAATATCTCATTTTAATTGCTCATTTTAAGTATCACGAAGAAAGCATATTTCCAACAAAAAATGTTTCAGATATAAGTTCTATACATGTTTATATTGTATCATATTAGATATTATATTTATACGAGTATATGTCTTTATGATCACACTGGTGAAAAATTTACTATCGTAGAAAAACTCTATATTTAAATTCTACATAACTATAAAATATTGAAATTTGAAAAAATTTATTTTATAAAAGATGAACAATGCATTTGTAATTTCTGATCAAAATTTTAGGTTAAAATTATAATATTTACTTTAATTCCGAAAAAAAGCGAACAAACCTATTTTTAAATCTTTTGTTATTTGTCGTCCAATTAAAGGGGCAGGAGGGAAAATTCTCAACGTTTCCTTGATAACTCGGTCCAAATAATGCATATGTTGCAAATCATCGTATTTAATTGATGCAGATTTTATAGTTTCCGTGCCATAAATATTTAATAGTTCTTGATATACTTTTTCCTTTTATGATGTTAAATAAAGTATTCATATTTTTATATACATGTAAAATATAAATACATGTTAAAAAACGTTTCAGATTTTTTATTAATTGTGATTTAAATTTGACTTTACTAGTTATAATTGAAGCGTTATAGGTAATGATATATAATATCAATCTAGAAATTTGTATCATTTTATAAAAATTTTTAATCTAAATACAATATTGCATATGTTGTGACATGTACTTCAAAGAATTTTTAATATCTTCGTACAAAGCTATCAATAATATATTAATTAACCTATTATTAGTTTAGATATTTTAAAAAATGTTAATAAATCAAATCTAATAAAAAGATATGAAAACAACAAATATTAATACATAGTATTCATTGTGATTGTGTTGAAATTACTGTTTATAGGTAAAACGGTTTTTTCGTTATATCTTATATTTTAAGAATTATTCAAGACATCAAAAAACGTTTTATATAAAAATTTTATAACAGTAATACCGCTATTTTTCTACGTTAATAATACTTTTTAAAAATAACTTTTTAAATAATTTGTTTTTAATTCTGGAAATGATTTCCTTCGACAGTTAATGCATTCATATTGATATAGTAGTAGCGCTTATAAATATTTTAACACTAATGTTTTTGTTGCATCTTAAATACAAAAATATTAGTGTCAAAATATTTATAAGCGCTATTGTATAAATGGCTTGATTAAATGGCTCAAATAAAATCGATGAATTTCAAATATTCGACTCTAATCAGAGAAACGTTTGTTAAAACGAAGGAAGAAAAAAAATATAACGATTTAATTTTAACATATTCTTAATCGTTACCCTGTATAGTATAGTTTGATCAAAACAAATCAAAACAATAAATGTTAAAAATTATTGATATGTGATGTATGATATAATATAATTTATAATTTTTATTATTATAAATCATTATCTTTTAAATTTTTAAATTTTTAAATTTTTAAATTATATTGTTTACACTTCAATTATTTAACTAGTAAATTTAATTATTTTGAAATATATACACCAAGAAGAGAGTTTCTCAAAATGCATTTTATCCAAAATATAATTTTTTGAGTTACAGATGGTAGTCTTCAATCTCAATCCTAACTCGCGTAAAGGAACGGTAGTGTCTGCTTGGCATAGCGCGGAGACACTACCATATCTCCTGATAATGAAAGACACATATTACAAGCTACTTTGAAATGTTCAAAAAGCATTTTTTCACCGTCAATTTATATACTGAAAAAATCTAGACATTTGATGTGCATTATTTCTTTTAACTAGAGACAAATGCATTTGTTTAACAATATTAGAAATTGTTTAGCAATTTTGTTTAACATTTTACATCTCACTGATTGGCAAATTATTATTTTCTGTAAGGCGTGTAGTTTTTTTGTGGGTTTTTTCTCGTTTTCTGAAAATT